TTTTGACCACAAGTATTGTGGTTAATGCACACGTGATTCCTTGTAAAAAGATTTCAGTGTTGTTGCCAGAAAAAAGGGGGAAAACCCAATTATTATATTGTGGTACTGGCAAAAGAGGTCAAATGATGAAGGGACAAGTCTTTACTAACAACTCCTATTGGAGGGGTTGCCCCCCCCCCCCGCGTCATTAATAATCGTTCACGGATGACTTCACTCCACAAGCAGAAAGGTGGAGCGGAAACTTACATTTGTTTCGGAACAATTGCTTGCACGTTGCCACTATTCTAAAGTAATATACATGTCACCTAATGTAGCGTGTGCCAAAAACGTCTGCGTGTGTCTCCCGCGTGCACCTCACTCCACATGCACCATATCTGCTGCATTAGACTCTCTAAATCACATTTTCAGTAGCATTGATAATAAGCAGTACTACGCCAGTCTTTTTCTTGACTTGTCCAAAGCCTTCGATACAGTAAAACCACAATATCCTGCTTAGTAAACTAAGTTGCCTCCATTTCTCCAGACACGTAGTAGAATGGTAAAAATAAGTATAACCAGTAAAAACAAAGTTTTTCACTATAAATCCTTTATATGCGTGGCGGCGAGAGTCCTCTCGTCCTCTGGCTTGAGATGGCTGCCACCTATGGGTCAGATGATTGCATTGCACCATTAAGCAATTGGTAATTAAATATAATATTTTTGTCCTAAAAAGTGTAAAATTTTGGAAAAAAAATTTCGTGAACATTAATTGTCACACACAACGAGTCTGTGTGGAAAATGTCAGCTCGATTGGATCACGGGAAGTGGGTTAAAAAACGACCGAAAGATTTGCACGGTCCTAAGCAAGCAAGCGAACTTAATATAAAGGATTTTAAAAAATGCACCTCTCTTCTCACACCCAAACTATATTCATAGATGGTTGGAGGTCAAACAGTGTTAAGATAACAAAAGGGGTTCCACAGGGTTCCATCCTCGGCCCCCTCTTGTTCTCTCTTCATGTCAATGACTTGGGCACTGAACTGGATCATTCTAGGGTGAATTTGTTTGCTGATGACACGATACTGATTACTGCAGGCCGCTCTCCGGATGACGTGATTGCTAAGCTCCAGGGTGATTTCAACAAACTACAACATCAGCTAGTTGCTCTAAAACTAGTCCTGAATACCTCCAAAACAAAGGCGCTATGCTTCTCACCAGAACTAAAGCAGGAACCTATTTTTCCCCAATTACATTCCTTAAATTATTATCAAATAGAGCAGGTAAAGATATATAAGTATCTTGGGGTCATCTTGGATTCAAAACCGAATTGTCAAGATCACATTGATTATATTGGTAAAAATAAAAAAATAAATTGCTTTTCTGTATCGACACAAACATTGCTTCCCCCCTATGTTCCGTTTGGAATTGATAAAAACTACCATACTTCCTCTACTTGATTACTGTGACATCGTATATAAATCAGCCCCCTGTACTGTACTGAAGAGGTTTGACCCAATTTATCACTCGGCCTTAAGATTTGCATTGAACTGCCCATATAGGACCCACCACTGCGATCTCTACATTGGGTCAAACTTAACAATGATAGACGGCTTGTGCATCAAAAAAAAACAGCAGACTACCTGCTGGATCTCCTCACTGTTTCGAAGAACAAATGTGACCTAAGGTCTTCGCTCATTTACCAGCTTCACATTCCTTATTGCCGTACAAATGCTGGAGGAAGGTCCTTTGCTGTTGATGCCCCCAGGGTCTGGAATGCAACTAGGAACACTACCTGTGAGATCAGCACTAAAAACTGCTCTTGAGGAGCTGTACACCCCCCCCCCCCCCCGCTGTCACTGCTATGCAGAGTGGCCTGAAATCAAATGCACCGCTCCGGATATCCGCTACAAAGTATCATCTTGAGTCTCGGTAAATGTGTGCTGATCTTTAAAGGTGCATTGAAAATGTTTGATACTCCTGCTGTTATGGAGCGACTCATGCTGCCAGCTATGGCTGCAAAGTTTGGTCGTACATGTTATGTATATCGTTTATTGTTACATTTTAATCACAGTTCCTATGATCACTATTACATTGTTTTTATAACTTTATTTTGGTGATATTCGAAAACGTATGGTTAAGCCATGTTTGTTTGCTGAAGTACGGAGTTAGACTGATACTTGTATCTAAATTATCTTATGGTTGTTATTGTTCGACTTGCATCCCATTGGTATTTTTGCACACAGCGTTGATATCCGGTGCTTTTTTTCTGGAAGATTTTTACTGGTTTTTCCTGGATGTTTCTGTTACGAAACATCACTTTAAGATGTTCTTTGTTCATGGTTTGTTTGTTACGGTTGCACCCGAGTCAAGAGCCTCATGGCTCACAGGGCTATTACCTAATACATGAAACTGAAACTGAAACATGCGGCCCCTCCCCTCGTGAATATTAATGTGTCGCTGCATTTCATTACTAACGCTGAGGATGTTGGAGCGAGTTAACCATGAAATTAATTCAACGCCACATCGCACTACATTTCCTGGCTTAAATTCTTCTTCACCGCGTCTAACAAAAGGTAGGTCAACTTTACGCTTCCAAATTATGCTGAAATAAAAATGTATGCTAAACTCAACATTTTTCAGCTGCTTTGCGGCCATTGACTCCAATTAAAATTGTTTGCAACTCCGGCGAGCTAAAGCGGATAATTACGTCTCAGAGCACTGTGTCAGCTGTTTTATCACATAGTTGTGTAATGGGTTCCGGAGACACTTGTAGAGGTAACTTCTTTATTACAATCCAACACTCCAACAGTCCTGATACTCTGTTACAGCCTAGGTACACAGCCTAGGTACACAGCCTAGATACACTACTCTGGCTACGCTCTGGATCTCGCCCTCCAGAGTCCCACCACTGGCCCTCACATCGTCCCAGGGTCCTGAGATGGCTGGTCTTGGGTCTTGGGTCTTGAGCTACAACTGGCCTCGATCGTCCAGGGAGCTGCCCTTTTATGCCTCGTCCCCAACGAGGGGTGGGGTTGTGTGCGCCCCCAGATATCCCACAGAGCACACACAGCCCCCCCCCCCCCCCCGTTGGTGGCGCCAAGGGGCTTAAGCGTCTGGGTTGCCTAGGGTCCCAGAGCCCCCAGCAGCCCCTCCCCTCTTATGTCACTACAGTTGCGTACAACAATCACTGCCATCACTGCAGTGCTGCGGTCTAATGCTGTGAGGTGTTTTATGTCTTCATTTTCTTCTACATTAACTCACATTAATACAGTGCTACAGTTACATGCAGTACGGTTTTTATGACATTGTTTTTTGCCAATTTGCCCCGCCATTACATTCAGCTCATTAATCATCGTCACTCCCCAAGGAGAAAGGTGCAGCGGAAATGAAACTTTGTTAAGGCGCACATGACATTTTTTAAGGTCCATTGTCCCCTCTTTATCTAGAGCTAACGACATAACTAATCTAGTTATTTTTTTTCTTATTTTTTTTTTCATTTTTTTCACCTACGTGACTTTACCGAAAGAACCAAAGAGTAGAGCTAACCAGAATACCAGACGATAATTTACCCAAGAATGTCGGTGTGTAACGCGCGTGACGTCACCCCACGTCGACCAGACCCCTCATTAATAATGATGAACAGGTTACGCCCTCCACATGGACCCGCCTAATTAATAATCATGAGCGGGTGACGTCACTCCGCATCGAACAGCCCCCCCCTAATTAATAATCATGAACAGATGACGTCACTCCACATTGAACAGCCCCCCTAATTAATAATCGTGAACAGGTGACGTCCTCCAAATGGACACCCCACCCCTACCATTAATATTAATTAACGCTATTGAGACATCAAAGTAAAAATGAGTAATATTTAAAAAACTTTTTTTTTAAACACGCTTTAATGAAATGTACCCTACTCGTAATGGAAGAACTCCACGACTTCAGGAAGTGGCCCCGAGGCTTGCCAGAACGTAAGGCGCCGTGGTCATTTAAAGCCAATGTCAGTTTACCGTGGACAATTAGACCCAAGCCGAAACAAAACTTGTAAAAATTAATGTTTAAAAATATTTTGTATTTTTTTTTACAGAATATGGTATTGTCATCAGTATGATATAAGTATACCAAGTTTGCGGTCGATACCACATTGGGAAGTGGGTTAAAATTGAGTTACAAGATTTAAGGATACGACAACAACAGAGTGAGTTAAATAAAAGCGTGTAACAAAATGACGTCATGATGAACAAGGGATTATAACCTTTAAATGAAATAGGTCTGTGTCACCGCGCCCTTACAACTTGCACACGCACTGATGCAATGAATATCACGTGGCGGTCTGCTTTTCGCTTGAAAGTTTCAGATTTACTGCAATACACCCGTCCTTGGACGGGCAAAAGCCTCGTAATGTACGAGTTATTTTACTACGTGCAACAACGTAATAGTTTTAATTATTGAAAAGTATTAAATGTTCATAATTAAGAAGATGAAATAAGTTATGTTATATCTTGTCGACAATTGAGGATATTTTAAATACGTTTGTTAAACGTGTTGTCTGTTTAACATTTTGCGTAAAAAAAAATCGTGCCATGTGGAAAATCCACTTTTGTTGTAATCGTGGACGTGACGTCATTCTATATTTGACGTGACGTCATTCTAGATTTGACGTGACGTCAGCCATACGGGCGTGCGATGACGAATGCACAGGTGAGGCGGGGGGGGGGCGAGGCGGGGGGGGGCGAGGCGGGCGGGGCGAAGCGGGGGGGCGAGGCGGGGGGGGGTGCGAGGTGAGGCGGGTGGGGGCTGAGGTAAGGTGGGGGTGGGTGAGGCGGGTGGGGTGAGGGGGCTGCGGGGGATCTTCACCCCCCAAGCCCCTCCCCCCAGCCCCCACCCCCCATCCCCCTCCCCCCTCGCGCGCTCGTCATAGGCAGCCCGTGCGCATGCGCGCACCCCGCCATGTTTTGAGGGGGCCGTGATCGTGGAAGCGGCGACGAAGCGGAGGCGGCGGCGGCCCTCGGGAGACTCGCGGCGGCGGCGGCGGCGGGGGGAGCAGGGGGAGCAGGACAGGCTGAGGGGGTGGAGGGGGTGGGGGGGAGAAGCGCCGGGGGCTGTTGTCAGGAGGAACGGGGGGGGGGGAAGCAGGAGGAGGAGAAGCGGGGGGGGGGGCAGCAGGGCCCGGGCGATCGGGGGAAGCGGCGGCGGCATCTGAAGCAGAAGTGAAGCAAGAAGCGGCAGCAGCAGCGGGCAACACGGCGGGCAGCGGGAGCATTCAGGGGGGGGAGGCAGCAGGAAGCACGGGGGGGGGAAGCGGGGAGAGAGAAGCAACCGTGGGCGAGTGCGACAAGCAGCAGACGGAGCCGAGCGGTGAAGACGGCGGCGGTGGTGTTGGTGTTGTCGGTGTTGGTGGTGTTGGTGTCGGTGTCTCGCCATGACGATCCTGCCCAAGAAGAAGCCCGAGAAGGAGGAGTCTGAGCGCGATGGCGCCGAGCTCCCGCACGGCCTCCGCCTCCCCGCGGGGCCCGAGGCGCGGGGCGCGCGGCCCCGGGGCCCCGCGGGGGGCTCCTGGGCCGGGCCGGCCGCGCGGGACGAGCGCGGCGGGGGGGACCGCGGCGGGGACCGCGGGGACCGCGGGGGCGTCGTGGTCGTGGGGGTCTCCGGAGTGTCCGGGGTGTCCGGGGTGTCGGGCGTCCCCGGGGTGGCCGGGGTCCCCGGGGGGGTCGGGCCCCGAGAGGCGCGGGCAGCCTACGAGGACGCCGAGAGCCTGGAGTGCGGCCCCAGCCACAGCAAGCGGAGGCACCGCGCCTCCCCCCACCGGTCCTCCCGCAAGAGCCACAGGGCCAGCAGCCACCACCACGGGGGGGGAGGAGGAGGAGGAGGTGGTGGAGGGGGGGGAGGAGGAGGAGGCGGTGGCGGAGGTCCCGTGGGCCCGGGGGCTGTGGGCCAGAGAGCCTCGGCCTCCCCGCGTAGCGAGGAGCGAGGCCCCGGGGTGGTCGGAGGAGGTGGAGGAGACCGAGGAGGCGGAGGAGGAGGTGGAGGAGGAGGATGTAACAGTGAAGATGAACATGAAGCCGGGGCCGGACCCATCCAACAACAACAGCAGCAGCAGCCGCAACAGGACGCGCCTAGTGGGGAGCAGGTGTGTGTGGTGTGTACCAACAGGGGGGGGCACAGCTGATTCATCTGCCTGTCATCTCAGTCGGTCAACACATGGCACCTGGGTCTGTCACGCGGCCTCGGCGTGCACCTAGCCTGGCACGACCGCCGTGGTGACGTCACCGCCACGTGGTGGCTGCTGTTGTGTGGATGTGGGGAGCGGTGGCGCAGTGGTTAGGGCTGCGAATGCGCTACCAAACCGGCGGAGATCTAAAGCGTTCCCGGGCCTCCCCTAGTTCGACTCGGCCTTAAATGAATACCTGGTGCAGTGTGTAAACGTCTCCACTCGGTAGGGGGCCATCCATTTAATACGTACACATGGAGGGGGGGGGGGGTTAACCCAAATGCGTACGTTTGCGTATGGGGGGGGGGTCACTGACAATGTACACATAGGAAATGGGGGGGGGCGGTGAAGCCTCGATAATAATGTGTCTACATTTGCCTTCAACTGAGTTAGATAGTCCGGCGGTGGACTATCTGTTTGCTTAAACACGTGAATATTAATAATCCTTGATCGTTTCTGCGTCGATTACATATCGACCGTTCTATAGGATTCGGGGGAGGGGTGTAAAGAATCCGCGTGGGTACAGGGAGAGGGGGGGGTCAAGTTTTGACAGATTTGTATGTCCCTGCTCAATGGATGTCCCCTCGACAAACGCGGCCGAGCGTGGTGCTGGCCACCACCTGGTGTGCTGTCCCGGCCTTCATAGGCGCTCGCTAACAGCACCGGCCTTCACGGTCTGTGAAGCCCACACGGTGGTGGATCTTTTTCTTTGGTATTGATGGGAGTTGTGCCGTGTGGGTGTGGTATCTGGTGGTGTCATGGGTGGTTGTGGTTTACGTGATGGTGGTGTTGGTGTTGATGTGTCATGTTTATGGCGTGGCGGCGTGGTGCTAGTCATGGAAGTCGTGTGGTTGTTTGGTTTATTAGTGTGGCGAGTTTGTCCGGCTCGTTGATGTGGTTCTGTGCTGGTGTCACGGTTGTTTACATGGACACGTGTGTTCATTCGGAACGTCGTTTGACCGAGTCCTTTAGATGTCGCGGTGCTCACGAAGCCGACGTTTCCTCTCGGAGACGCTGGCTGCGTGCGCCACGGTGTTGATTCTCGTTATTGTTCGGCGAGAAAAGCAAACCTCACCGAGAGTCTTCGACTTTGTTTTTATCCTGGGAGGGTCTTGCTAAGTTTGCGCAGCAGGGGGCGATGATCGCGTTGCGTTCCCAGTTGCATAATTTGGGGTGGAGTGGTCTCTCAAATTGGGACAAATTTAGATCGTGACGCCGCGGCACACGATGGCCAAGTCTCCTTCGAACGATGCCACGAGACCTTTAACTTCCACCTTGAAGCAACGTTCCGATTTTTTTGACTGTCACTGGCCCACTGGACGTTTTGTGCCTTTTTGGACCTGTGCTCGTCGACTGCGCGCAAAGCTTCCTTTTATTTATAGAGCCGCCTCATTCCTGGGAGGATGCCCCCCCCCCTGGGCTGAAGGGATGTAGGTATAGGGCGCGTGTGTGTGTGCGTGCACGGATGGCACATCGCCACTAGGGAGACAAAGGCGGTCGGGCGTGGTGCTGGCCACCCACCCCATCGTGTGCCGTGGCGGCCTTCTCATAGGTGCTCGTTAACAGCACTTGCCCGAACACTATGTCAAGGCTATACGGTGGATCTTTGTCTTTGTGTGTGCACAGATGGCTTTCACGTCGCCTTGCTCGTCAAATCAAGGTGTGAGTCGTGCTTGCCCTGGCATTTGGCTGGTCGTGCGGTGTCATCGGCGCAGGCGATGCCATATGCTTGCACACGCGTGTCTCTTGTCACTGAAGTGTCAAGTGATGTTTTGTTTAACCAGGTGAGCACTCAAGAGACCACCATAGTCTCTCATTTTCAAGAGTGACCTGGGGAACAAAGCAGACAATAAACGGTCACATAAAAAAGTACAACGATGAAGCAAATAGAAATCGGAGAAAAACCGACTCTATAGAAATAGAACCCAATAATCAAGTTGGCTTGGTTGGAGGAAAGCCATACATACGAGGTTGAGGGCCGCTGTTGACAAGTAACAGGTGTTTGGCTGCATTCGGGTTTACTAACCTGAAATTGTGATCTGAGTAGCGCTTGCTTAAATGCCTTTGCCAACTCAAAGCGCCCTTTTTATCACAACCCATCGCAAACCATTCTAAGGTGACCCACTTTGACAGCTGTCCCTATGCCGGCACAAGGTGACTACTCGGTACCGGCAAGCAAGTGGCCAATTGTCGTCCAGTAGGGGGCAGCAATTGCTTTGTGTTTTGCCTAATTGAGTCATTTGAGGTGGATTTTTTTTTATTTGGATCATAACAGCGACACACGATGGCCTGCTCATTTCGAATGACGTCACGGGGAATTAACGTTCACTGTGAGGTGAAGGAGACAGCACATAGCATTACACATTACGCATTAATAACCAGGGTGGTCTGCTGGATCCGAAGCGTGAACCACTGCAATAAGCGGTGAGCGTGCAACTGCTGGGCCGTGTCGCCGAACCCAGTGTGCAGCTGCTTCAACGTTGAAGGGGCTCCACTCGCGATCCGTCTTGCGCGACCCTAACATCGCAGCTTCCCTTACTTTGCGCCGGGTCACAGTTGGGGGTGGTGAGGGGAGTCTTGACGAGTCCCCACTGCGTGTGCGCGCGCGTGTGCAGGGCGAGGCGTGGTTTGAGAACGTGCTGAAGGAGAATCAGGGATTCATCATCAAGCGCATGTCAGAAGACGGAGCCTGCCTCTTCCGTGCTGTTGGTAAGTGGCAAAGCATTCCCCAGACGTGAGCGGCTTCATTTACTAGGCACCCCATAACGTCAGGAGAGGGTTCTTCCTTGCCTCTTAAGATCTGGCAGTTAACCAACATGGATTCAAGCAAGCCTGCCCGCTGATGAAACCGGTCCAGAGTTTGCTTGTCTTGTTGAGCTTCTAAACTTGGAGAAGGCCTTGTTGTGGCTGATGGTTTGTGTAAGAAATACTTTTGTTCCTTTTTTTCACGTGGAGAAACGAATATGCGAAGGGGACATTGCTTTTTTTGTAGTCTTCTGCGGTATGGAATGGCAACTTCACATTGGTAGGTCGAGATGAGAGATTCAGTTAGGTACATCATCGGATGCGGAATTGACTTTTGTCTCGCTGAAAGGTTACTATAAAGGGCGACTGTGTTCACGATGCGTTCCGTTGTGTGAAGTATGTCCGCACGGCTGCAGTGTGGATTGTTCTGTCATCATCGCCACTCGTGCATCAAATGTGATCCACATCGCCCCCCTTGGGGAGTCACCCACTGCCGCCGGATTCGTGCGCAGGCAGGTTCTTTGGCGCTTGGATCTTCAGTCTGGCTCCTGTTTTTTAACATCAACGCCGTCCCTGTTGGTCCCCCCGCTCCTCTGGCGTGATGGTCGATTGAAGGGCCTCTGCTGCTGTCCAGTGGTTCACTTGATTTTAGCCTGGGTCGCGGTGAACTAAGAGTGTCAAAAGTATAGGTTGGGGCTGTAAAATAAATATAAGATTATAGGCATACCCCGATTTTCTTCTCCCCCTTTTACGTCATTTTGCATATACGTCGTCAATGTATTAATGCCACTTCCTGATTTGCGTCGCCTCAACCCACACATCACTGACGGCATTCATCCTTTCTCATATCCGTCGCGTAAGTGTTTGCCTCCACTTAACTTCAAAATTGCTTCTATTTACATTATATTCTTGGTTCTTCGGTAAAGTCACGTAGAAGGGAAGTAATAAAATAATAAAAAATAATACATTTTATTGTTTTATATTTTTATTATTTTATTTTTTCCCTTCTACGTGACTTTACCGAAAGAACAAGAATATGAATCCCTGCAGTCACGAAAGCTTTAAATCAAAAAATTATATTTGCATTGTTTCAATATTCGTCGCAGCTTTCAAGAACGCATCCCGACATAAAGCGGAGTACTACTGTACCAGTAACCACGTGAGGAGAAAAAAAACATTACCAGGCAGCCGCACATATCGAAATGTCGAGCAAAGACAATACAATTTTAACATTTTAAAACTAAAAATGCTATTTATAGTGCACGCAATATTTCACGGACATAAATGACTGTGGCTGCCGCACAGAGCCAAGCTCGGCGTAAATCAAAAGCTTGGCGAGAGAGGTGAGGCTCTAAGTGTCTCTTAAAATTCGGTGGAGATTGAGTGCCGCTGTGAATGTGCAGCTGGAGCGAGATGGCGTTCCAGACGGAGGGGGCTGCCATGGGGAAACGACGCCCAGCAATGATGGTCCGGGTCCTAGGTGTAGAGAGGGAGGAGATTGCGAGTAACGCAGTTGGCTGCGGAGAGTTCTACCGCGAGGTGTAGTGCAGGGTGACGGCAGCGGAGAGAGATATGGCAGACGACCAAAAGTAGAGCGGCAGCGTCACAGGCGGGCGATGTTGTAGCTTACCGTGCTGTTGACGATGATGGGAAGTCGGTGCAGTAGGGAGCAGAGCCCAAGTGAAGGAATCTAGCCGAGGATGACGGGTGTTCGAGGACAACGTGGGCGACATTGTTATGCTACTTTTGGCGTTGAGGTTACTCGATGAGGATCGAACAAGGACGGAGTGGTAACAGTCGAGATGAAACCTGACTAAGGTGCGGACGAGGATATTGTTTTTTTTCGGAGTGATGAGTGGACTGAATTGATGAAGGGCCCTGAGGTGACAAGATCTTAAGATGCGGTTGGTGTGGCTGTCAAGAGTGATGCCGAGGAACTTGATGTGGTCGGGAGTTTGTGGACTGTAGAGCCAGAGGTAAATATGCTACAAGGGAGCTGGACGTGGTGAGACGTTGGACGATGCCGATCGGGCCGCCTTTGTATTTGGAAGCATAAATTGAAAAATCGAAGTGAGCTGTGGCAGTGCAACGGTTAATGCACTGGACTTGCAAGCCAGAGGTCGCCGGTTTGATTTGGCAGTTGAATTAGTGGGACACGTTTCTGAGTAGATGTGTGTTGGGCACAACACTTGCAGCACACGAGTTGGTCCACATTGCTTCGTTGCTGAAATTTGAGGCACGCAGAGATTGGGCATAATTCCACGTTTATTTTTTTGGATATCGGCCATGGTCATGTCGTCTATTGGCACTGTTGTGCATTGTGTGTGTATCGTACGTCATGCATGGTGCTAATTGTGTGTTTGTGGATATTCTGTTTGTGTGTGTGTGTCACATGTATGTCGTGTGTGCGCGTGGCGTCTGTATTTGTGTGTCGCGCATATTGCGTGCTTGTCGCGCATACGTGTCTTTTTTGTGTCGTGTGTGTGCGCATGGCATGTGGTATGGGTGTGCGTGCCGCATGTGCACGTATCGTCTGTGCATGTTGTGTCGAGCAGCAGACCAAGTGTATGGGGACCAGGACATGCACGATGTCGTGCGCAAGCACTGTATGGATTACCTGGTGAGTGCATCGCACCTTCAACTCTTCCATTCCTGGATTTTCGCACAAAAACAAAGGACACCAGAAAAAAATTCTCTGTTGTAATACTATGAACTCCCATAAACCGTGACATTTGTTCATTTCAGATGAAAAACGCAGACTATTTCTCCAACTATGTCACGGAAGACTTTACGACGTACGTGAACAGAAAGCGCATGAACCACTGCCATGGCAACCACATCGAGATGCAAGCCATGGCGGAGATGTACAACCGCACCTTCGAGGTGTACCAGTACAGCACAGGTGCTGCTCCCAACCCTGTCCACTTCCTTGTTGGACTTGTTTTTACATTATTGCGTGCAGGGTCATCAAAAGTGTTGTTTATGCATGACCGGTATTCAAATGAAAACCGTAAAAAACACAAACGGTTAATACCGCGCACATAGAAACATCTAGAGCGATGAACATAACGCATTTTAGATGTGGAATTGAGAAACGGAGGAATCTGCCACAGCAGTGACATGCTTGGCAAATGGGACAATCCGGAGGTCGTGGGTTCGATTCTAACTCCCGGCGCAGCAGTCAAACAATGGGGCCAAGATCCCTGCGAGTCGGTTGGCAGGTCGAGCCCATCGACGTTCATTACTAAACTTTCACAGGAAATGATTACCAGTGCCTGGCTCTCTTGCACATGAGCCTTGTCCTGCTCTCTGGAGTTGCCACCTGGTTAAACAAATAAAACTTGCATAATAGAGGTTTTTGGGTTAGATCACGTAAATATATAAATGTGTCGTTAAAACCCGCCACCACCCGACACAGCCAACTAGTAAGGGTTGTCACGTAAACAACATGCCAATTCGTCACTAGTACAGCACACCGCTGTGTTGGAGAGCCAAGCCACAACATTTACAATCTGAGTACGATGTTTCGCCAGTAATTACAACTAGCTTCATCAGGCGACAGCCAGATTTGTGGAGAAGTCTTACTGTTTCGTTCCTTAACGTTACTCAACCATGGGGTCCTGTGAGAGGTGAAACGTTAACCGATGTCACTGTTAAATAAGGGACTACTGTACTACGTGTGTGCGTGTATATATACACGTGTGTATGTGCAAGCGTTTGTGTGTATTTTGTATATATGTGTCCTCGCGTGTTTGCCTTGTACGCCCACTTAACACCCCGGTGGACACCCTTGCACACACGTTTTTCCACCTCGAGGGATGTTCCTGGTGAAACATTTTAAGATGTAGCAAAGCTGAGTGTGCTGGAGCGCACTTGATGCGTTGTACACGTTTTCTCACTGCTAAACGCCTATCGTGTTTCCTGCCACAGAACCAATCAACACGTTCCACAGCATTTACAGGACGGACAACGAGCCGATCCGTGTGAGCTACCACCAAAACGCGCACTACAACTCGGTCGTGAACCCCAACAAGGCCACCATCGGTGTGGGGCTGGGCCTGCCCTCCTTCAAGCCTGGGGTAGGCCGCCATCTCTTCAACTTGAATTCGCTGTGAACGGTTTATAAAAGTGCTTTTTTTTCCGAGCCAACGCTTGTGACGGGAAATTTATATGAGAACAAATACTTTAGTTTACGCACAAGGTTCGATTTGTTGAGTCGTCTCTGCTCCGATTTCTCTTTGCTTCGTCGCTGTACTGAATATTTTTACGTTATTGCCCTTTGTCAGTTTGGTGACACAGGTCTCTCTTGCAAGTGATGACTCCTGGTCTCGAGTTTTCACCACCTGGTTAAAACAAATAAACTTGACACTTGAATGGGGTCTTCTGTTTGGGCTGCGAGTTGACAATTTCTTTGCTCAGGCTTTTGCCACGCACTGCTGCGATTCAGGAGGCCAGTAATAGTGCATGGCGAAAGCTTGAGGAGAAATGCTGCACACGCAGACCAAGCTGAGAACCTTAATAAAAACACTTGCTGAGTTCAGGCCCAAAAGCACCGCACATCAAGCTGCTAGCAATCTCATTCTGGCCACGCTACTTCTCGTAGGTCTGCAGTTTCTTATGTACTTGGAACTTCTTTCGCACCGTACGTAGCCAATCGTGCTAATCAGAGGTGTGGGAGAAGGAAATCAAACTAAGCGGCCCAAAACAATGTGCTTTATAACAGCACGGGTCTCAAAAGTCTGATTGTACACGAGTTTCTTTGCATGTTGGTGCGGCGTTTGTGCGGTAATGCGTTGTATGTCAGTGTGATGTTTGATGGCTGTGTCCTGTGGTTGTGCCATCTTGTGGTGCAATGGGTGGTGCGGGTGGCATGTGGTGGTGTTTGTCCTGCCATTGTGGTTGGTTGTGTGGTGTGATCGTGTGGTCGGGTGTTTGGGATTGTGGCGGTGCACACCATAGAATGCAGATAAAACGCTCATGCAGAGCGCCATCAAAACGTCGGAGGAGTCTTGGATCGAGCAGCAGATGTTGGAGGACAAGAAGCGGGCGACCGACTGGGAGGCGACCAACGAGGCCATTGAGGAGCAGGTGGCGAGGGAGTCTTACCTGCAGTGGCTGCGCGAACACGAGAAGCAAGCCACACAGGTGCTTCCACCCACATCTGGCACACAGGTGTCCACTCGTACCATCACCACCACACAGGCGTGTACGGTGTGTTAGTGTGTGTGCTGTGTTAAGTGTGGGGAGCGGTAGTGCAGCGGTTAGCGCGCCGCACTACGAACCCGGCAACCCGAGTTTAATTCCGCTCGTGCCCAATATCGGCGACGATTATCTGAATCGGTTCTGGGCCTTCCTTAGGTCGACTTGGCCTCAAATGAGTACCTGGTGTGATGTGTAAACATTGCCACTTGGGAGACAAAGGCGACCCGGCGTGGTGCTAGCCACCCACCCCCTCATGTCCCGTGCTGGCCTTCATAGGCACTCGCTAACAGCACTTGCCCCAATAGTCTAAGGCTATACGATGGAACTTTGTGTTGATGTGCGTTTGCGATGCGTGACGTGGCGTGTCGTGCGACGTCGTGTGCTGCGTGCACAGCCCAGGAAAGCCACCGCCACCTGCAGCTCGGCCACAGCAGCCGCTGCTGGGGTGGGGGGCGGGGGCCCTGCGGAGGAGAGTGGTGGGGGCCGCTCGCCCCGGCCCCGCGTCGCACTCTGCAGCTCCCCTGACCCCCCGGAGGCCACGGGCAGCGAGCCGGGGCCCAGGGGAGGGCCCTCCTCCGTAGGCCCTAAGCCTCCCTCTCCCGGCCCATCCATCTACTCCAAGCCTCCCTCCCCGACTGCCGGTGAGCTCCTTACCCCCCCGTGTTTTTTTTATACAGTTGCTGAGCACAGGCTCAAAAGCCAAAAACTATCAAGTGGCCAGCAGCAAACAGCACTATTATAAAAGTTGTAATAGGTAAAGAGTTAACGCATCTCTTAAATTGAGCAAAGTTATTATTTTAAGAGCTTGGGAAAGTGACGATGGTGAGAGAGCTCTCAAGTGCAGCAGTGCGAGGGAAGATCCATAAAGAGGAGGGTTGTGACCTGCATTATGGCGAGTGCATTGGTGGGTGGCGTGAATAAGCGAGAAAGGATTTGCGAGTGGGTGGGTAGGTGGGTGGGTGAGTTGTGTGGTGACCTGTGGATGAGACAACATAGTCTGGATGCAGGCGGCGCTTAGTATTCATGGTGAATACACACCGCCACGGTATTAACGAGGACAGCCTGACGGATTAGAGCTGTGAAACGTGCCCCCGTGTGTCGCTTCTCCACGCGCCATCTCCATACCAAGACCGTAACGTGGCCGCTCGCTTTACGATGAAGCAACCATGTCGCGTGCGCCGCACGGGAGTTGCCATGACGACGCTCGTGTCCGTCACGTGTGCAGGCACAAGCTCCCACGTGTACTCCCCGCAGCCCTCGAGCAGCCAGGCCTTCACGGGCCTCCACGGGGCCGCGAGCCAGCCCCTCGACTCGCGCACCGTCATGCAGCAGATGTCGCCGACGGCCTTCGGTGAGCCGACATCTCCCTTGCTCTCACCTGCTCCCCCCCCCCGATCCCCTCACCTGCTGCACGTGTCAGGCTTGTATCACGGTGGCGAGATGTTAAGTACCTCACCTGGTAGACAGGTGTTGGGTTAAATCCCAACCCTGACGCCTGTATAGTTTGCATGTTCTCCCCGTGGTCGCGTGGATTTTTCTCCGGGTCCTCCGGTTTTTCCCTCCACATTTAGAAACGCGCATTTAAAGTATTTGGTCGCTATAAATTTCTCCACGATAAGCCGCTTCGTTGAGCTAAAATTTGTGGCCAGGTCGGTTCTAAATAAGAGCTGTAGAGCTCAATGGACCTTCCCTGGTAAAATAGAAGTTTATAGTTTTAGTTGACGTGTCATTTGTACAACACATGGTAATGAATTGTTAGCGCTGTAGTAATGTAAGCGGCTTAAATGCGTACGATGTGTGGGGGCTGCCTGTGGGTGGTGTGGCAACTGTACATTGGTGAAGTGTAGGAGCTGTTTGTTGGAGATGCGCAAGTGAATTGTGGACTGGGAGTACTGTACGGATGATGTGAGGGGGTGATTGTGTGTGATGCGTCTTGCCTGCTGTGTGTAATGGTATCAGTGCTGTGTTCAATGTGTGCAAGTGATGTCTGAAGTGAGTGTAATGTACGTGGGAGCTGTGTCACATGCCTGTGCTGTGTGCCTACCTGCGCATTTCTGTACATCTGTTGTGTGTACGGGATGCGTGTTGGGGATGCGTGTTGGGGATGCGTGTTGGGGATGCGTGTGCATGCATATTGACACTGCGCAGCTGGGGAGCGGTAGTGTTAGCGGTTAGCGCACTACACTACGAGCTCGGCAACCCGAGTTCAATTCTCGCTCGTGGGCCAACACAAGTGCAGATTTATCTTAACCGGTCTTCGGCCTTCCCTAGAACGACTCGGCCTCAAACAAGTATCTGGTGAAGTGTGTAAACATCGCCACTCGGGAGACACAGGCTGGCAACCCTCGTGTACCGCTCCGGCCTCCGTAGGTGCTCGCTAACAGTACTTGCCCCAACAGTCTGTTCAAGGCTATACAGGGGATCTTTGTTTTTGTCGACACTGCGCAGGTCTCACGGACTGGGAAGATGATGACATTCTGGCCTCGGTAATGGCTGCATCTCAACAGGAATACCTGGACAGCCTGAGGAAGCATGCTGGGGGCCCCCCCCAGTCCCCCGGCAGTGTCCGTGCCCCCCCTTCGCCCGACAGCAGTTGATAGCAGCCCCCCTCCCCCAAAAACGAACGCACTCCCTTCGGCCCCCCCGTGTGGCTTCACCAGTCCCCGCCCCCCAGGGCCTCATAGCAACGATTATAGCACACGGGAGCAACGCAAGAGAAAGCGGCACTTCCTGAGGACTTAACACGGCGACACTCGGGACACAGCGACAAACGACACCTGAGCACATTGACACCTAAGCACGGCAGCAGGAGATGGTAGCACCCAGAGACGCCCAGAGCTTCAGACGTAGACACGTACACAGTAACACGGACAGACACCTAGGCACGCAGTTACACCTCGACAGTGCCACCTCGGCACACGGTGACATTAACAAAGTGACACCTGCTTAGCACAGTGACACGACACAGTGACCCACTTCTCGGCGACACACACGTCCCCAGATACAGCCCAATAGCGTGTGGCTCAGTCTTGGAGCACCCTCTGGACACGTGATCGCTTCTGTTTGGGTCATTATTACACCTGTCGCAGCATCGGGGCAAGTCGTCACTCGCTCCCCAGCAGGGACTTGTGGAGTTGCGACTGATCCACCACAGTGTGCCAGAGTTGCGCCACAGAAGCCCGCACGAGGAAAACTGGCAAACGGGTGGCTCGGCGGTCGAGCGCGCCAGCGGCTCGCAACCGAAGGTTCCGAGTTCAAATCTCGGTTAAAATGAGTACCGCATTGTGGGGAAGTCAACAGTGGTTGTGCTATGGGTGGACTCGCCCCCGCCATAGGAATGTGGAGTTTCCACCACTGGCTCAGGGCTGTAAATGGGAGATGAGCACCATTCTAGCCTCGATGCTCACACGTGAGCAGAAATTACCTTTAGGACGATTAAAGGAAACGGGACTCGGCCATCCCTCCGGTACTAAGAGTAAACGGGAGCCAGCAACCCGTGCCGCCAGGACGGCCTTCGCCGCCAATGGTGTGGCTTCTCATTTTTACCGTAGTCCACCGTGTCGTTAGTTAGATGTGTAACCAAAACTTATTATTTTTATTATTAATGTACCTAAAATGACATACTTCACTTTCAGTATAGCCGATGTCTTCCTGTATTTTTTCATTGCTACCTGTATGTGAATGCTGAGGTGTTGCGTGACATTTCTGTAGGTGTCTTGTAGAACTAGCGCAGTGGCCTGCGTCCTGTAGGATGGGCGAGTGGGCCTTGCCGACTCTAAAGGTGCGCGGTTCCACAGCACGTCCGGCCCAGGCATTTCCCTTCTTGCCAGAGCCGAGTGGCTGCTGGTGTTGACGGTGTTATAATCTGGAAGGCGAGGAACAGCTATTATTGTACAACTTCGACTACTGTTCAAATACATGGTTAATTTCACGATGCTGTGAACGGTACCGATTTGTTGCGCACAGACACTAAAAGGGCTGGCGGTACCGTGGTAAGACACCGCGTGTATGTAAAAAGTTCCTGGTCCGTCACGCGTGATTTATTCCACTATTGACTGCCCGACGCCGCTGCCTCCTCGCTCCCAAAATCGGCCGCTCTGCAGTTGGTGGTGGCTGCTTTCCCAGCTCCAAGTTTATGGGTCCACGTGTGGGTTTCCGTGCTGGCGAATTAGTTGAGCGAGTAAGTGGGTGGGTGCGAGTTGGACTGAGTGAGTAAATGAGTGAGTGAGCGCATTGCTACAGAAAACTAATTTGCAGTTAACGTAACCTGCGATTGTGAAGCCACTTTGCTTTGCCGCTGAGCAAACAACTTATTGGAGTTGGGCCCAACATCCAAACGTAGGATCGCCAAGCTTGGGAAATTTGCTGGCATGGGTTTTGAGCTGCCTTGCCACTTGTCTGTGGTTCTCTGCAACCCGATGTGACAACGGTGCAGCTATGAGATGCAATTTGCATGAATGACGACTGCCATGTACACCCACACAAGTTATTGTTTGAGCGATTTTTTAGTTCAACTAGATATACAACGTGCAGATCATTTAACTCGTATGAACAGTGAATTCCTTATTCCCAGTCCAGACAACCCATTTACAACCACCACTCCGGAACCCGGCATGGCAACAGCACCAAGCAGCAGCAGCCAGTTTACATCTATATTAGGGGATCGTCGCCGTGAGGAACGCTAAGAATCAGACTGAAGCGGCCCAAGATATGTGGGTTATTGCATCGGTCGTCATGGAGACGAGAGAATCCGCACGAGCGGACAGACAGTCCCCCGTCGGGCGCTCCTCACAGCATCTACTACCAGGGCCTAGGCTCGCCATAGCCTCCGCCGAGCCCCCCTGGGGCATCCACGGGGGGGGCAGGAGGTCGCCGGCGAGCCAGGCAATTACGAGGATCATGTGACACAGAGGTCGAGCGCCCAGGGGGGTGGTTTGGAGGTGTAGGAGGCGGGTGGAGCAGCGGAGAGAGCCTGCTCTGTGTCGCGGGGGGCTTTGCTCTCTTCGTCGGTAGCGTCTGCGTACGGCGTCTCCAGAACCCGCAGCACACTCCGCACCTGGAGCACGCAGACCCCACACACAGGGACAGTGTTGGGATGGCAGTGATTCCTCGTTTAACATGGTTGATGCGTAACTGAAAAGTAATACGTTAAGCGAGGAATTGCTGTTTTGAATCACGTTTGCACGATAAAATGTAGCTTGCGACATCCCATGGCAGGACAAGCAAATGAGATGAGTGAACGCCGTGTAAAGGATCAATCCGTGTACTGCATCACACCGCTTAACCGCGCAGGTCGAGAAAGTAGTTTGTCGTTGACGACTCGGAAGCTGCGTTGTAACAATGTGCATTCCGCGTTGTGCGAAAACTCGTTGCTTGAACACGCGTTAGGCGAGGACTTGCCGTACTTCGAATTCTTCTTGTGCCGGTGCCAATCACAGGGCACGGGTGTCGTGGTGACCACCATTCCGAATCGGTGTGAGTTTGAGAATGTAAAGGTGGGAAGCGACTGGCAATGCGGAGGCGCGACGGACGTTTTGATCTCGACCGTGCGTGACGCGACAAACTGAGGATCGCCAGTAAAGACGCCGGGGCCGCGTCTCACCACTGCTGGCAGAAGGGGGCCTCCGTTAGAGCCAACTCGGAGGAGTATTTGCTCTACTCTACCACGTTGACCAGACGTGTTGGAAGAGGTGGACAGGACCCACATTCTTACCTCACCAGATGCGAGCTGCCGATTGACCAACTGTGGCGAAACACAATGCTGGGGCACACTGGTGGGGGGGGGGTTTGGAATTTGAGAAACTGGTTCCATCTGCCACGCCAAGGAGATGGAATGGCACCAGTCGCCTATGGATGGCAAGTCCAGCGTGTGAACTGTGACATTGTAGGCGCAGCAGCAGCCCTCTGAGGCTACATGCAGTTGAATATCCCCACTTCATGCTGGTCCCACCTCCCCCCCCCCCCCCCCCTGTATCCAGATGTCGTAAGTAATAAAACAATCGTGTAGAATTTGTACTGCACCACACGGCTTCCGTTCACTCACAGGGAATGACTCCAGTGCTATAGGAAGGTAGCCACGAACAGCACCAGCAATTCCCCCTGGCTCTGTAGTCCGATATTGGGTTGTTTGGCCAATTATCTTAAGTGTTTACACGTGAGGACGGACCAGAATGCTTGGAGAAAACCCTTGCGTGAAGAGTCGGGGGGGGTATACACTCAATCCCCATACAGGTGGAAGTTATCCCACTTGCTGTACTGCCATTGTACCCCCACAGCAACCTCGACGCCCACGGGTTAAGGAGGTATTTCCACAAATCTGTGTGTGATCCACCAACCCTCGTGGCCCATACACCGCAGCCACTGCAGGCCGTGAGCAGCTCGGCCATCGGGGCCCGTCGGGGCCGATGGCCCCACGCACCTCTGTGAAGTCGCCCTCCTCGGCGGCCGCGATGGCCCGCTGGGCGATGTAGTTGCGCAGGACGACCCTGGGGTTGGCGGAGTCCATAGTGGCGGCAGTCTCCCTCCGCCACGACGCCGCCTCCAGCCCTGACACCTCTCGCTCCTGCAGCAGGCGGCAGCTGATCCACCACACGGACACAGGGGTCACCCGCTGGGGGTCGCTCATGGGGGTCACCCACTGGGGGTCGCCTATGGGAGTCGCCTACGGGAGTCGTCCACGGGAGGTACCCGCTGGGGTCACCCATGGTGGGAGGGGGGGTGTGTCACAGCCGCTCCCGCAGGAGCTGCCACTCGACCACTTCCACACAGCTGCTCCAGCCCATGAGGAGTAACCAGACAACATGACCCATTTGCGTATCTAGCGGCAAGTGCTGTGGATATGATAACCCAAGATGGGGGAGGGGGTAGGAGTGTAGTAGATGAGATCACAGGAGGGGCGACTGCCGATTCTGGCGACCGAAGAGAAGAGAAGACCTAAGCACAGGTGGTGGTGGTGGCACAGCGATATCAGGGCAGTGCTTGGAGGTCAGCGCGCAGTGACTGCAGCAGCAGCAGCGGGATCTGGCCGAGGAGGGTGTGAAGCGTCGGCAGTGCGGAGGCACTGCCGTGGAATCGACTCGGGGGGTCACGACGACGTCCCCATCTGCGCCATGCCGCCGCGACACCCAAGGCTCGGCAGGAAAGGGGCCGTGGGGGGGGGGGGGGCGCCACCTGTAGGCGTTGAGCCAGTGCGTCCAGGCGCGAGCGTCCTCCGCCTCCTTCTCCGCCGGCGTGGCGAGGCGCCAGCGCTCCGAGGCCTCGACGCAGCGCAGCTCGCGCTCCAGCCCTGAGCGGCCGCCAAACATGCGCAGCACCTGCGGGTTGGCCTGCGCTAGCGCCAGCAGCAGGGACAGCTGTCTGCTCGCTCGCACAAAGACAAAGACCCCCCCCATCCCCGTGCATCCTTAACAGACTGTAGCGGCGAGCGCTGTGAGCGAGTAGCACCCATGGAGGCCGGCACAAGGGGGTGGTGTAGGCAGCACTTCATTCTAGATTTGAAGCTTTCGTGACTGCGAGGATTCATACTCTTAGGTTTTTTCGGTAAAGTCACGTAGGTAAAAAATATAATTAAAATTATAGAAGTAATAATGGAAAGAAAATAAATCTATTCATGGCCACCTTTGTTTCCCCAGTGGCGATGTTCACGCACTGCATCAAGTACTCATTTGAGTGCGATTCAACCACGGGGAATCCCAGGACCGGTTCAGATAATCGTCACTCGTGTTGGCTGTGAGCGGGAATTGAACTCGGGCGGCAGGGTTCGTAGCGCAATGTGCTAACCACTGTGTCACCACTCCCCACAACACAGTTGCCTGACACGGACAATAACAGCCAAGTGGCGGTGATGTCCCCACAGGCTGAGTGCACTTTGAGGCCATGTGAAGTGTCAGGTTTGCTGGCAGGTCATGGGACAGACCCAAATGTTATGGGTTGACTGCAATGACTGACAGATACACCACCTGTGATCCCCACTGTGCCAATTTGCTGCATTTTCGCCACCCATCACTTCACTCGTTATGAGCTTTGCTCCTTTGCCGACCCTGACGCCGAAACATTTGACGTTTGCATGTTCTCCCTGTGGTCACGTGCTTTTTCTCTGGATCCTTCAGTTTTTCCCTCCACATTAAGAAACATGCGGTTGGCTGATATACATGTTCACTTCGTTGAGCTACCATTTGTGATAGCCAGCTCGCTTCTGAAAAAAAGCTATATAGCTCTGGGTAAAATAATAAGTATAACCCGTAAAAACTAAGTTTTTCACTCTAAATCCTTTATATGCGTGGCGGCTAGAGTCCTCTCGTCCTCTGGCTTGAGATGGCTGCCACCTATGGGTCAGATGATTGTCTGCCAGTATTAAACAATTGGTAATTAAATATTTAATTTGTTTTCCATAAACAGTGTAAAATTTAGCAAAAAAATTTTCACGAACATTAATTGTCTCGCACAACGAGTCTGTGTGCAAAATGTCAGCTCGATTGGATCACGGGAAGTGGGTTAAAAAACGACCGAAAGGTTTGCACGGTCGTAAGCAAGCACGCAAGCAAGCGAACTTAATATAAAGGATTTAAAAAGAGTACGTTCGAGATGAGATGCAAGTCACTTATCGCACGTAAAGCACTGCAAGACGCCGAGGTGATTGTGTCGTTGCAATTATGGAGTTCTCTGACGCCGTGTCAGGTCCTCCAGCCACGTGGCCACCCGCTTGGCCCTCCGAGCCACGAATCAGTGGAGACCCTTGGGGCTCGCACCTGGAGTCGATCCTCGGCTTGGAGGCTCTCTTCATCTCCTCCACGGTGGCGCACTGCTGGCACAGCAACGTCGCCAGCTCCTCCACGGAGCCGGCCTCGAGCGTCAGGCGACTCAGCAGGCGGAAGGAGTTGGTGAAGTCGGCGCCTGTTGGGCCGCGACAGGCAAAGGGTCGCACGAGCAGGATATCTCAACTTTTGAGCTGTAAAACTTGAACTCGCGTAACGCGGCATGCCGCCGCCACACGGTAATCGCTCTCGACTCAACCCCACGTCTCACTCCACACCTCCCCCCCGTTGCATCACCCGCCATCACCCCCACCACCACCCCCGCCGCCATCATCTCGCACACGCCGGCCGCGCCAGCCGTACCAGTGCTCTGCATGGTCTCGAGCAGCGAGGTCACGAGGCCCGCGTCGTCGGGCTGCTCGAGGAGGCCCAGGCCGAGCTTGCGCCGCATCTTGCGCAAGTAGGCCGCCTCGTAGAGGGCGCCGTACTCGTCCAGCGCCGGGCGGCTCAGCTCGGCGGGCAGCGTCGGGGCCAGCGCCTCCGCCAGCTTCTCCAGGTTCCAGCGGCACATGTCCGGCTGCTGATCATAGGCGTAGCGGCCGCCTTCGTCCGAGCCGTTGCACACGTAGTGAGGGTCGAACCTGCGTACGAGGGCGAGAGAGGGAGTGGCGAATTACTTGACTCGCAGCTGCGGCGGTGACATCGCCCAGCGGGAGCGCGTTCGCTGCCGCAGGAGGTCACGGAGGTTCGCGTTTCGAGCCGGGTGGACTGCCCTGGTGATCGCTGCGGTGGGGATTGACCTGCGGAAATAATGCGACCTGCGCACCGTCTGCTTCACGGCGGGCCGTTGTTGGCCGGCGTCGCGTTACACATTTGCCAAATCGTACAATTTTACCTGCAAATTATTAAATTGGGATCACACGCAAAGTAGCAATCGCTGCCTCCTCCTCGCAGACTAACGCCCAATACCAGGCCAGTGCTAAGTAACATTTTGCCCGCAGGGACGGCTGCTACTCGGGGTGCCCTTTTAAATGCGTTGAGATGGATTTGTGAGTCACCGATCGCGTGTGAAGCGAGACGCCCAGTGTGAAGGAGGGTGGCTCCATCAACACTAATCACCATGATTGTGCCTCATGTAAATAATAATCATTGCTATTTTCATGACTCTGCTTGTTGACCCAAGATAGTCTCATCGAGTCTCAAAATACGTTTTTCATGAGGATCCTGCCAAGTGTTTGCAGTCGGCGTACACTGCCGGTACGTAATTTGCAGGTTATTTATCAGCATTAGGATGTTTGCGTTTTGTTTTAGCGATGGGGGAAACCAGATAACTCGGGAAACCCTTGCAGAACAGGGGGAGAACATACAAACTCTACGCAGAAAGGTAGCCAAGTTGGAAATCCAACACAGGCTCTTAATAATAAAAACAGGTGAGGGCCTGGACTAGTCAGGGCCTGGACAGTTGAGAGCGTGGACTAGTGAGGGCCTGGACAGTTGAGAGTGTGGACTGGTGACGGCCGTGACGGGTGAGAGTATGGACGGGTGAGATCCTGGTCAGGTGAGAGCCTGGATGGGCGCGGCCCTGGACAGGTGAATGATGCTTGAGCTGCTGCTTGAAGGTGAATGATGCTGTTTGGATGCCGCTGAATAGGTACAGCAGTGTTCCAGACAAGCGGTGCAGCCACGAAGAAACACCGCTCAGCCATGACGGTGCTGGTTCTGGGGACGATGGGAAGATTTCGATAACTCGTGGCACGGGGACAGCAATTACCGGTCCATAAAGCCGAAGGGGCCATAGTCGATGGTGAGGCCCAGGATGCTCATGTTGTCCGTGTTGAGCACACCGTGGCAGAAGCCCACGCACTGCCACTCGGCCACCAGCTGCGCCGTGCGCTGCACCACCTTCGCCAACACAAAGACAAAGATCCCCCGTGTAGCCTTGAACAGACTGTTGGGGCAAGTGCTGTTAGTGAGCTCAGATGAAGGCCAGCACGGCACACGAGGGGGTGGGTGGCCAGCACCACGCCCAACCGCCTTTGTCTCCCCAGCGGCGATAATTTTTACACACCGCACCAACTACTCATTTGAGTCCGAGTGAACCTAGGGGAGGCCCAGGACCGGATAATCGGTCAGATAATCGTCAGTGGTGTTGGCCATGAGTGAGAATCGAACTCGGGTCACTGGGTTCGTAGCGCAGCGCGCTAACCGCTACATCATACAAGTATATATATACATGCCCAGTGAGAATCATCTAATTCAACTCCTGAAGATACCTGCAGGAAGTAGTACAAGAATAAATTCCTGACACGCAGCCCAACCCGGAAGCCCGCACCTGGATCCTAGAATCCTCAACGAACCATTGAGATCCATCTCTCATCAACTCTCAGAATCGATGATGAGAGTAACCTGCGCAAAGCAGATACGGGGTGAGCTTACGCCCTGGTGAGCTTGTCCACCGCCCGGTCTCCTCTACCGCCACACTGCTTGTTTGACATTTTCATCGTGACCCAGAGATTGCCTGGGTCTCAAGACTGATTTTCAGCAAGGTCCTGCCAAGTTTCCACATTTAGAACATTTTTAGATTGTTCGGCTGCTATAACAGCTCAGTGGGCTTTGTATATTTTTTTGTTAACTGCTTCACCTTGCCTATACTTTGCACCCCTAACGTGTCTTGTATTGTTTGTTGCGGTAACGTTCTGACCTGCCCCTACTGGTCATCTGTAAAAATAGTTTTAGAGCTCATCGGATTCCTCCTGCAGTATAAATATTCTAATTCTGTCATCCCAAACGAATAATTGATCAGGTTATTTTTCAGCATTGAGATGTTTTGGCCAATACTGGTTGCACTGGAATCGTTTTATTAGCATTGGGATGAAACCCACGCAGAACAGGGGGGGATCGTACACAGAAAAGCGCTCGAGTGGGGAATCTAACCCAGGCCTGTCTTTCTGTGAGGTGGGAATGTTACTACTGCACCACCCTGCCGCCCAAGTGATATAAAAAATAAATGTCGTATATAATGGATACATTTGGATGTGGGAATTGTCCAATTTACCGGTGAGCAAGGTTAAACAATTATTATTGGTAAGTTAAATGCTTGTACACGGGGAAATTTAATTTATATGCATGTCGGGTGGTGGAGAGTCTCACAACACACATTGGACCACATCATGACATGGCCTCACCAAAAATGTATTTTTTTACATTATAATACTGTATGTATACTCTAAAACTCATCACACAAAAGGAACTCCCTACACCCTAGCAAAGCCAAATCCCTGAGCTTAGCAACCAAAACATCACAAGGCCTACAGAAAAGCTCTCTTCCATTCACTGGAATCACTGCCGGAAGAGTGCCCAGGAAAACCGTGTCAAGAGCACAGGAATGGCACACATTCTGCTGCTCGTGAAACTGCAAGTCACGCAAGACTGCCCACTGTCTCCCCCCAGAGAAAAGGGTGCCTCTGTTGAACCAGCGCTCACCGATTCAGACCGGTCACTTGCTCACCGGCGCTCAGTCGTATTGTTATCGCTCTTCTTTCGCGACTACCATGGTTACCGCTCACTACTCAAGATTCCTCCACCAGATTCAGTGCTTCGTCTCATCCACACTGTTCAACCACCACCATGCTGCAGGTCACTAAAACTCATTCAATCACCCACTCACCCACTCACTCAATCACTCACCTACTCAATCACTCAATCACTCACCCACTCAATCACTCACCCACTCAATCACTCACCCACTCAATCACTCACTCGCTCACCCACTCACTCACCCACTCCCTCACCCACTCAATCACTCACCCACTCACTCAATCAATCACATCACCCACTCGCTCACCCACTCACTCACCCACTCACCAACCCACTCACTTACCCACTCAATAACTCACCCACTCCCTCACCCACTCACCCACTAAATCACTCAGTCACCACACCGCAGGTCACAACGCTTCTCTTTCTGCTCCTTTCCCCCGCACTGCTCCACTCTGGAATTCCTTCCCATCGTCTCTATTCCCCAAGCTCTTAAAAAAATAATAACCTGACTCGATTCAACAAATGTACTTCCTTTTATCCAACACAACTGACAGTGCACTTGTACGTTGCTGGCCGCTCGATGTTCCGGGCCATTGGTTCTGGGTTCAACAAATGTGTTAAGGAAGTCCGCGCAGAAGCAGAGAAGCCGCCGCCAACCAGTTTGGCTGCTGCTGGGAGGCAAGGCAGAGCACACGCACACACACACACACGTGTGTGTGTGTGTGTGCGCGAATGTGACCGGTACGATCGGAGGCCCTGCACTAACCTCTCTAAAGAAAGCCGCGTACTTGTGGCTCGCGCCGTCACCATGGCCTTCGAGCAGCTCCGGGTAAAACGTGTCGATGACGTAGTCGAGCATGGTGACCTTGATGTCCTCGCGGCCGGCGCTGGGGCCGGTGCGCCCAGTGTCTTTGTCCGTCGGTTTGAAGATCTCAAACGAACCAAACCTAAAACACACGATGGGTCAGCGTTGTTGCGTCGTGTTGTGGTTGTCCCACCTGATGACGATTGCTTGTGTTGCGATCGAAACGTCGTGATCTATTATTTTTCTACCTACGTGACTTTACCGAAATAACCAAAGAGTATGGATTCCTGCAGTCACGAAAGCTTCAAACCAAGCCTTCACTTTGTCTGCTAGGTTAAGTGGTCTTTAAGGAGGACTGCGCTAACCATAACAAAAACGCACCACTTCACTTTTCATGTCTCCCGCCTCTACCCTCCTTAAAATTTGCATGTTCGCTGAACTTTTTGCCCAGTAAGGCCACTCACACGTATGAAGTAATGGGAGAAATAAAATCACTTTTTCACTGTAAAAAAAAAAAACCACGATAAAATTTTACCAACACGAGTAGCCTGAGCAATGGCGGGAGGGAGCGGGAAGAGTGACCCAAGTTATGGAGTCTCATGAAGCTCCTCGCTGTACCGGCGTTGATAACGTAAACAAACCCCATTGGATTGTGTTTACAACATGTCTGCAGAGTAAATCATTTTACTATTCTTGAATCGCTTTGCATGATTTCTAAATATATATTTTTTAATTTAGCAATTTTTTTTGGTTCGTGCAAAAATAAGGCGGGCCGAGTGGCCCTCCATTGCCGACATCGTTATAAAAGAGCTTCGTTCCCCGAGGCTTCGTTAACCGAGGTAATTGCTGCGGCGACCGGGGCGGTCTGCCGGATCGCGAGCGCCCTGTCGGGCCGTGTCCCTGCGGTGTCTTGCCTGAGGAAGGAGGGCGCGATTCGCAGCACCACGCTGCACTGCTCGGGCCGGGCGTTGCCATCGTAGTGGACGTCCCTGAGCACAGTAGTGTGCGACGTGACGCACGAGCCGGCGCGCGTGGTCGGCACGCCCAAGTGGTGCATGGCCTCGCTGCACAGGAACTCGCGCAGGCTCGAGCGCAGGACCTTGCGGCCGTCCGCGTGCCTGCAGAGTGGGGACATCGTCATCACCACCTCAACGTCACCATGGTTACGTGTGTCTGCAGTGCTGACATCATCACCATCTCCTCAACGTCACCATGGTTACGAGTGTCGGCAGAGTGGGGAGATCGTCATCACCACCTCAACGTCACCATGGTTACGTGTGTCTGCAGTGCTGACATCACCACCTCCTCAACGTCACCATGGTTACGAGTGTCTGCAGTGCTGACATCATCACCATCTCAACGTCACCATGGTTACGTGTGTCTGCAGAGTGTGGACATCACCACTTCCACGTCACCATGGTTACGTGTGTCTGCAGAGTGGGGACATCATTAGCACCTCAACTCAATTGACTGCAGAATCTAAAATATGATTTCGACTTAATTCAATTGCAAGTATTACTAAAACTTCTCTTTCTTAAAACTAAAATCAAGTTTCATTCACTTCACCTATTATGGATATCAGATACAACATCATTGAACGGAGTGCTTCGAATACGTGGGTTTACTGATTAATTTAAAATGTACATTCCAACTCGATATTGATCACATCTCAAAGAAAATCAAATCAAACATCGGGGTTTTTTCTACAGAAACAAACACTGTTTTCCCATGACCCCTGCGAATTTCTGAAGCTATCATTCTCCCACTTTTTGACGACTGTGACTCTGCTTACACATCAGCTACTAATGAAACATTAAGCAGATAAGCCCGCTTTATCATTTTGCCCTTCGAGTTACCCTGATTGTACCATACAGTACCCAGCATTGTGACCTCCAGTCAAAATCCAATCTCACATCACTTGAAGAAAGACGAATTCTACATTGGGCACTGTTCATCCACAATCTCCTTATTTGAAAATCTGCGCTAGATGATACATACCTAATTCATTAACCCCATTGTCAAACCCAAGACACCTAAGACGTCCATCTAATTTTCTTTTAACTATCCCGAGAACAAGAACTTGGATTAGGTGACAAAAGCCTTTGCCATTGCAACACCAACACTTTAGAACCTTGCTTCCTCCCCTAACCTCGTAAATATTCCTTTAAAAATATTCTGAAGCAGAAGATTAGTGTCAAATACAGCCAGGTTTGCAACATGTGATTTGTAACTTTGAACCTGACCAGTGCATCATCGATAGTCACATTTTAATGTGCAATGTAATTGAGAGAATGTGTGTTGTTGTCTTGGTGTGGTCTGGGACTGTTGTTGTTTCTCTGCCTTGTCCCAAGCTTGCATTTGTTGTTGACAAATCGGCAGGAATTAATGCATTCGTACAATTAGCACTTTCAGACTGTATTAATATTTATTTGTAATTTTTAGGGATTTGCTTAAATTTTCTCTATCTCGCACCCATATCTATCTGGCACAATTTTACCGGTGATACTCGCAGAGACGCCTCGACTGGACATCCGTGAAAAAGAACTTCATGGCTCATCAGATTCTTCCGGGATAAAGATTCTGATTCCGAATTTAACAGTAAATGAACTCATTACAATGTGAATAAGGCCGAGTGAAAAGGTAAACTGTGCTTTAAATTGTAAACATATACCGAGTGTAATGTAGCTTTAGGAGAGAGACTGGATTAGACCGGCAGATTTAATGGTTACTTGCAGAAACTCCTCGGTGTTGCTTTGTGTTCTCTCACGAGAAGTGGTTACCTGGTTCCCAGAGTAGGAAAACTGATTGGCATGAACGGGCGTACAAACCGTACGGCGGCCTAAGTCACCACGTGGTTCATTTGCCCGCGATACCTCTGTTAAACAGAATCAGAATATGTATTTATGCTGGAGGAATTCTATGACCCATGAAGCAATTTTTCCCAGATGTTCAGTCGGGGCAAGGGGTAAGAACGTCACAACAACAGCACAAAAACACGACAGTCGTGCAAAGTACAATAAAGGTCAACAAATCACTCAAAAACACACAAATAAAACTAACCCATCCCCATCCTACCAGGCAAAGCCCACGGAGGTATTAATTTATTTTTCAGAAGCGACCTGGCCACAAATGACAGCTCAAAAAAGTGGCTTATCACGTGGGAATTTAAAGCAGCAAAAGCCAGCCAGGCATTCGTAAACGGTAGTGGTGCAGCCCTCAAATCGCTTGCTTCGCCAGAGGGAGCTCTAGAGGAAACTTGGTCTATTCTTTCACGCCGACCAGACGTTTGGGAAGAGGTTGACGTACCCCCCACACTTTACCCCACCACACTCGACCTGCCAATCGACTGTGGCCGTACCCATTTCTATTTGCCCAGCGGGTGAGGATTTAATCCAACTGGCTACCTCTGTATTGCATGTCCAGTGTGAGAACCATTGCACCACTGTGGCAGATTGGTTAAATGTAAAACGTGTTTCTAAGACATTGAATACTGTACTGTACTCAAAATGGCTTGATGATGGGATCCAGGTCAACCCTTGCTTAACAGAGGCGATTATGTGTTGCGTATTTCTCAATGGGTTCATTTAATCTGCTGGTTAAAGGAAGGACACGGGACCGACCGATTACGCGACCAACATCACAACGCACACGCAGGGGGGGGGCACCATGATTTGCCCTCCTCTCTATCACTGCCCAGCAAATCCCATCGCCGAATACCATCACCGAAGCCCATCACCAGCTCCCATCGCTGAAGCCCATCAACTGATACCATCACCTAAGCACATCACGAAATCCCATCACCAGCTCCCATCACCAGCTCCCATCACCGAATACCATCACCGAAACCCATCAACTGATGCCATCACCTAAGCCAGGGGTCGGCAACCTACGGCTCCGGAGCCGCATGCGGCTCTTTGCGGGCTGCTTCTTGACGATATGTAATATGCACATAGATGCATTGCGGCTCTTGAAATACTGAATTTTGTACCGAATTGGAAATAAATGGCTCTTCTTGTTATTTTGGTTGCCGACCCCTGACCTAAGCCCATCACGAAATCCCATCGCCGAATACCATCACCGAAGCCCATCACCAGCTCCCATCATCGAAGACCATCAACTGATACCATCACCTCAGCCCATCACGAAATCCCATCGCCGAATCCCATCACGAAATCCTATCACCTTCGGAATCCCTACCCCCAAGTGCCCACCTGGGACCTCTGGGACCCCCCAAGTGCCCCCCCTGGCGTCCCTGGGACCCCTACCCCAAGTGCCCCCCCCCCTGGAGCCCCTGGGACCCCCAGACCAAGTGCCCCCCCTGACACCCCTACCCCCCAAGTGCCCCCCTAGCGTCTCTGGGACCCTCACCCCCCAAGTGCCCCCCCTGGCACCTCTGACACCCCCCCCTGGCACCTCGAATACGGCGTTGGCCCAGCGCCCTTGAGCTGCAACTCCCAGCGCTGCCCGGGCCCCGCCTGCACCTCGCCGAGGTACATGGCCGCACCGTCGCCCAGCTGCCCGGCGAAGCTGCCGAACTGGTGGCCGCAGTAGCAGTGGGCGGCCGGTTGCGCCCCGGGAAGGACGCGGTTCCCCGACAGGAACTCGGCCGCCTCGGGCCGCGCCGCTTCGGCCTCGGGGTCGCGCAGGCCCAGGAGCCGCATCGCGGGCACGGAGACCGCGACCACGCGAGGCCTCTCCACGGGGCTAGGCCTCACCCGCGAGAACACGGCCCCGGGCACCTGCCGAGGCGCCGGGTCGTCGCTGGGGTCGAGCGGGAGTCGGCGCAGCGCCGAGTTGTCGAAGCGAAGCGTCTCTAAGGTGCCACTCCCTGGGGGGCCCGTGGCGCACGCACGAGTCGCCATGGCCCAGGTTGGATGCGGCTGCTGCGGCTGTTGTTGTTGTTGTTGTCCTCCTCGTCTCTGTCCGAGTCGTCGTCGGCACGGGTCTGCGAAGAGGCGGCGAAACGCGCTCATCCACGCAGCAGAGACGACGAAGAGGAGAGGAGAGAAGGGAGAGGGAGGAGGAGGGGGTGGAGGTGGTGGAGGGTGGAGCTGATGGACTCGGCAGCTGAACGCGGCGGCGGTGGTGGCGGCGGCGGGGTCACACGGGGCCGTGACCCCAGGCTGCGTGGTCCTCGGAACCATGGCGCTTGAGTCACTCATTAATTTCGTTACTTTACCAATTTTTGTTGTTGCACTTATTTACCCAGGAAAGACTCACGGAGGCTCTCAACTCTTTCTTTTTCAGGAGTGTTTGCCGAGGGATTTTTTTTCAGTAGGGGGCGATGTTGCTACTGCTGCTGCGCACTTACAGTTGAGTACTGTAATTTGAAAGTGATTTCTCTGCTTTTGGGATGTTTGGCCAAAAGCAGTCACATTTTCGCGTGTGTTCAGCTCTGTTCTACTTGGGATTCCTCCGGGTTCTACTGTTTCTTCCCAGAGGGAGAACATATAAACTGCACATGGAAGGCGCCAGTCAGAACATCGAACCCAAGAGCGCCTTTGCAATGAGGTACAAGTGTTACCACTTGCACTGCCACAATGCCCCTTGTGACCCCTCGTTAGTTCTCGAGATCAGACCGTGCGATTCATTGTGGCGACCACCTGCCACGAGATCAGACAAGGTATTTCACTTGGTCACCTCAGGTCGGTACCATCTTGGGTGGCCTAACTCTCGTAAGTGGTTCTGATTCTCTATATGGCCAACAAGTGAATTAAGTGATAAAATGTGGGACATCACAATAAGCAGACTGTCTCCACATTTAAACAAATACACCGTAAAACATGTTTTACGCATCTCATCAGTTACAGCCTTTGGGGAGTGAATTTTTCATGAGGATTAGTTGAATACAACCAAACTCTGGGTCAGTTTCAACATTCTCTTTAGAAGTCAGACCAAGTGAATTATTTGATAACCCACTCATATCTCATGGTTATCACAATTCAATGTTGTTGACCACAGAAATCGAAGCAGCTAAGGTGATGCTTGGTACTGACGAGTGACAAACCCAGTCTGGTCGCATGGATGAAGAGACACGGGACTGGTTGCCACATGAAATTCCATTATCAATTAAACATCAGCCTTGATCAATCCACTGCTGGACGAAGGCTTACCCAAGCTGCCACCGCAAACATTTCTCAATATAAAATGACCAACACAACAATACTGACTTTAAAATGCTTTATTCAAACACAAACTTCATGATACAGCATTGAAATAAATTCGCATCTGTGCATAAGACATTGTCAACATGAACAGAACAATATTAGGTACAAGTTAGGTACAGATTAATGTCCTAATTTTAGAGTGAAAGTGATATTCTGCTCAATCGAGCACCGAGGCATTGGAGCTCATCTCACGTTTACAGCCCTGAGCCAGTGATGGAAATTCTGCATTCATATGGCAGGGCAAGTCTTTCCAGAGGGCATTAACTTCCCCATCAAGTGGTCCTCATTTTATCGACTCTGCAGGGATGAAGTTCTAAGTCAACCCCCCAACCATGAGCTGCTCGCTGTACCACCAAGCCACCTGGCTTTCCTATTAGCGTTTATAAATACATTAATCGCAGCACAGGTAAACGCACGAATTGCCATCTATATCAGTTACTGAGATGTAGAGTAATTATGCGATCCTTTACAAGCATCAATCACCATTACCACTTGCCTTTTGCAAAATGCGGGCAAGCAAGCATAACTCCACGTGTAGGCCGCAGCCCTGCAATTGCTGGCAGAAGCACCTCCACTAGAGCAAACTCTTCAGTGGAATACTCATTGGTTTTTTCGGTAAAGTCACGTACGTAGAAATAACATTTTTATAAAAAAAATTAAATTTAAATAAATCACAATGTTTCGAACGCAACACAAGCGCTCATCATCAGGTGGATAAGAGATTAGAAACGTCGTGATTTATTTAAATTTAATTTATTTTAGAAAAAAATCTACATACGTGACTTTACCGAAAAAACAATGAGTATAATTTCTGCAGTCACGAAAGCTTCAATTCTAGATCTTCAGTGGTATGTTTGGCTCTTCCATGCTGACCATACGTGTTGGAAGCGATGGGATAACTCACACTTTACCCCACCATACACGACCTCCCCCAAATGACTGGTGTACCCATTTATACTGCTGGGTGGAGAGAGGCGGTGGGGGAGAACGAGGATATTTGATCAACTTGATGCATGAGGTGGAAAATGCCACGCTCTGTCTTGAGAACATAGAGTTGTGAAAGGATACAATATCATGCAGTGATGGCAAAGCTGGGGTCAAGTTTAATCACGACAAAACCAGTGTCCATTTGTCTTTTATCAGAGTATATACAAAAGTAGCAAGTTGTACTTTACTTTTCAAACTTAGGTAAAAAAACCTCAAACATGTGCTTGCAATGTCACAATGTCAAGGAAAGAGTAATGGTGGTACATTGGAATAAATAAGAGCCCGGAGTGTATACGTGGAGCAGTAACATGGCCCAGAGGCTGCTTCTTGCAGAGGTTCGTAGTTTGAATCTGACAGGCTTCCCTGGTTGATCTTGCGGTGTGTATTAACCACAACACGCTACACGTGGTCTGCTTCACTCAGCGGGCGTTAAAGATCCGATGACGTCATTCAAACAGTAGGTCATTGTGCCAAAAAAAATAATATTACACTGCAAATTACTCAACTGGGAAATATATCTCAACCGTCACTCCCTCTTGATAAAGCGTAGCAGGACCCTGCTACCTGAAAGAAGAGTCTTGAGGCTTTCCTGGGTAAACAAGCACATGTAGAAGTAATCGTTATTGTCAGTCCCTCAACCACTCCACATGCATTCCTTCCGTCAAACTCCACACCTCAAGCAAACCCTCCCTGTGTCTTCCTGTCTCGCGTCTACAAAGGCTTCAGGAGCTCTTCCCAGCGGATAGGCTGAGAGAAGACCTCCCTGTGCAGCCACGTCTCGTAGCTGCAGCAGAAGTGCGAGGGCAGCTCCGTGGAGCGGCCCAGGAGGCTCTGAAGGCAGTTGTCGACAGGCGCGTAGTCGCAGCAGGCCGCCTCCCCGCTGTAGCGGCGCGCGTTGAAGCGCTCCACGCTGGCCCGCAGAGCGCACTCCTCTGCCTGGAAGTCCCAGGGCCGCGCGTCGATGTCTGCAGCCGCAAGACGACAGCAGATTTCTCAAACACGCGGCGCCGATTGGCAAATATCCATAATGTATTGCGCGTGTGTGAACACAGTACCGGACGCTGGTGGCTATGCTGCACACGACCTGTAATGCTGCAGTGCGCAGGCAGCGAGGGTTGGTGGATCACACACAGGCCGTCGAGGTCACGGACATCTCCTGGCTTGCCAGGGCATGGCAGTAAAGCAAGTGGGTTAAATTCCATGTGTACGGGCGATTGAGTCTTACCCCCACCTCACACGTGGGTTTTCTCCAGGCACGACGCTTTCCACCCACATGTATAAAACTCTTCAATCGAGTTGCCTAAACAAGCTAATATAGGATCGCAGAGCTCGGGCAATCGCTGGTGTTGCTTCTCACCGTCTTCCCTGGCACTTGTCTGTTTCCTGTGCCTCTGCGAGTGAATAAAAACTGCGCACACTCCGAGAATATTACTACGATCAACACCCAGGCAGTGGCCCGCTCGCCGCAGGGACCTGGCACACAGGGAAGGGCGCGCAGAACTGGCCACATACCGTTTCCAAATGCCCAGTCGTCGTTGAGACGGTGCCGTACTTTCTGGTAGATAGCCGACATGGTCTTCATGTTGCTCTTTCGCCACTGCCGCCCGAGGTATTTGGTCTGAACCTTAAGCAGCTTGAGCACGTAGAGCTGCATCGTGGCCTGCTTCACCTTGAGCGCGCGCTTGAGAATGGGCGCCGACTTAAACACCACGAGCATCTGTCGGCAGACGGCGCCACATCACGCACAGCCCTGGCTGCGGACAATGTCCTTTCAACGGGGGTCAGTCAGGTGATAATGATTATATTAAACTTGTTTACCCAGGGGGAGCATCGCATCGCAGGAGGGAGCAATGTTGCAATGTGTAATCACAGTTGAGTGGTTTACAGGTACGTTTTCAGGATTGGGATGTTTTGGCCAACATCATTTACACTGGGCTTTTTCTTTTTGCTATGGGAGGAAACCAGAGAACCCAGAGGAAACTAAAAATCCACAGAGACACCCGAGTCAGGAATCAAACACAGTCCTTTCTCACGGAGGCACAAGTGTCACCACTTTGACACTGTGCCGCTCACCCCTGATGAGCGTCAACTCAAGAATTGCGTAGGTAAATATCTCCTAAGTGGATAATACTGTACGATTATTTCACGTGTAATCTGGTGAGACTGCATGTGACGAGGTCACTAGTTGTTGCTTAAGCCGCCCTCCTTCCACCCGGTCTCCATCGACCACAAAGACAGAGAAACACGCTGCTACTAGACAGCGTCATTCAGACGCTGTCTTTCCGACAGACCTGTTCTTCACCTGAGGACGGCTGCTTGCGTTGTGGCCGAAACTTCGTGAGAATTATTAAATGTTTTATTTTTATTATTTTATTATTTCCCTTCTACGTGACTTTACCGAAAGAACCAAGAAGATGAATCCCTGCAGTCACGAAAGCTTTAAATCGAAATTTATTTCTACAGAATCAATAATCAGGCAACAGGCTTCCACATCTGTCCCTCTGCATAAAAATCTAATTATTTTTACACATCCCTTTAGCTGCATGGCCTTCTGGAAGTGCATTATTTCCTTCTATGTTTCATCAGCAGTCAGGTTTACTTGAACCAATGCTGGTGATCTATGCAAGATTTTAACAACATGTGTCTTGTGTAAAGGTCCTCTCCGAACTAAGGAGTCGAACCGATTGGTTTTCATGTATGGTGCGGGTAAACACAATCAGTTGAATTGGTTACAGTTTAATTGGCTTACAATGCTCTTGAAAGATTCAGTCCCGGTCAAAGATTTGCTAAAACCAGTTAAAATTGTAACCAAGCCCTGTTTTGGTGTCCATTGCATACAACAAATGCTAGTTCGGCATGGCTCACCATGGTGCGCGAGTGTTTCCACTTGGTGAGCTTGTTGAGGATTCGGAGGAGGTTTATGCATGAGAAGAGATTCCTCCAGCAGAACTGGGTTTCATCCCCGGCTTCCTGTACCACACGGACAGCAGAGTAAACACGTCACTCAGTTTGCATTGTAACGGTTATTTTGTGTAGCGTCATTCGTGCAAATTACCATCTCAAACCGCTGGAGAAGAATTTGTAATGCGTGCAGAACGCAGT